TGCAGACGACATAGCTGAGCAACATATGCAGTCTTATACTGCTGTAGCGCACATAAGGATTGCAAAATATACAGTAAAATATATAAAAGTGTGTCAAAAAGACAGAAACAAAATGCTTATTATTACCACAACACTTGGTATAAACTAGCAAAAAAATTATCCTGTGTTAAGGTTCAAAATATATGTCTTTTGAAATACTCTGGGCAGTCTTCTTTAAGAAATTGTAGGCCTTTGTGGTTAGTTTGAATTGGCAACCTGCTAAAATGCTCCAAAATGGAACATAGATCATCAACACCATCATATATCTACACTTAGAAACCTGAAATGGAAACTTATTTTTATAGCACTGTAACTTCACAAAACGTGTCTACGTCATACATTGGGCATATTGTTTTACTCCAAAAATGTAGCTGAGCAGAATTTGGGGAATTTTATCATAGTGGCACATATTAAATGTACAAAATACCCAGCAAAAATTTTTACATGTATGTACAAAATACCACTTTTACACAAAGTAAGGCACATATTTTAAATGGCAGCAAGTTAAGGCACAATTTACACCATATGAGTTACCCTGGATTATCTACTTTCAGAAATGGGTTATTTGAACATAATAAACACAAACAGGAGCAGGGCCTGACTAGCAAGCTGTGCAGACATGTTTTCAAGGATCTCCTGCCAGAACAAACATTAAACCTGCTAAAACTACTAATTAACTACTAAACAGAGGGCTCAGAACCAAGCACTAACATCCTCTTTCACAAAGGGGACCATACAGGTTCCGAAATAATCACTTTTCTAAGCATGTGCTGAAGATTGGCTCTGAGACCTCCAGGGACAGCTGGCCCGTTGGTTGGGTGAGGTGGCCGATCTCCCACCTGGGACCGAGCATCCCGACACAAATCTCCTCAAGCTCCGTTACCCCCCCCCTCTGGACCGGTAGGGGTATTCCGGTCTCCACACTATCTACGCTGCAGTAACCACTTTAATCCTGGCTGTCCCTGAAACCCCATGGTGACCCAAGATGGCTGCCGCACCGAAACTTCAGCTGAGTACAGTAGGCCCAGAGACCCTGAATAAGGTACAACGCTTTGAGACAAGATTTGATGAGCTGTGCCACATTTTGTGGGCTTGTATAGCCTGCCGATCAAACCTTACTGCCTCACCTGTTCGAAACAAGCGACAACCCCGGGGCACTTATGCTGTGGCTTCGTCCCATCCAGTCACACCCCAAAGCAGAGCCAACCTGCGACCAGCTGGGTGAGACCCTGATACAGTGCCAAGGTTGGGAAATGGAGGCAGGTGCCTCGAAAACAGTGGCGATCCCATCGACCTGGTGCACCGGGTAATAGTTTCCTCTCCGGAGTGCAGGACTGCGGAATGCACGTCACTCATATCCACTGTTTACAGTGACCCAAGATCAAGTCCTGATGGCGGTCCGAAAGCGGTGATTCCGGTGTTTCAGCTTGGGGCTGGAGGGGCACAGATAAGGGGTGCCCCTGTGATCACCCACGTCAGGCCAATGTACACCTTTTGATGGGCATAGGCTGAAATCCCCACAATCTAGATGTAAGCCCTACTAAACAGAGGTGATGGTTATCTACTCATTTATTGTATATTCTCATGCCCAGTGGTATCTATTAGGAAGCTAACTGACAACCAATAAGCCTAAATTACCTTATCTCTTCTGTACAATATAGTAGTTCAGATTGTTTATCACATATCTGCCTAGCTTGTTTTCCTATTTCTTAAAAAAAAAAAAATAAGTGCAGTCTCTCTTGACATTACCTATATCTATAATAACTGTCTACATGCCTAGATTTTGTCAATTCCAACTCATGTATTTCTAAATGCACTACAAAAATAAAGAATTAAAAATAAATAAATAAACACAAACAGCAAAAAATGCAATAATTGCTTGTGTCCTTAAGGGCAAGACAGGCTTCTGAAGCTGTGTCCGTTTAGCTAGTTCACTATGCAGAAGGGAAAGGGTAATACAATAAAAAGAGAAGGATTGTAGATAGTTACGAAAGAATGAGAAGATTAAGAATGTGTGGAATGTCTTCTGCCTATGCAGCTAGCGATATTTGTACTTTTTAAATGTAACATTAAACAGTCTTTATAAATGACTTAGTGGTCAGTCGAAACGTTGCCCACTCTTTTTGTGCAATAAATGATCACAAAGGTTGAGTTACATGAGTGCCGGTTGCCATTTATTTTGATGTGAGTACAATGTAGCTACTGTTACCTTGTGCAGTTAAAATTCATTACGTAGATCTGTATCGATGTTATTTAAATGTAACATAAGTGAGGTGTTTTACGGACGCGACGGATGTATTTTTGTCAACTATTGTGAACCTTATTGGTTACTACTGGGCTTTTTCTGTACTCGCTAAGAAGTCTTAAATAGGAAACTAAGCTAGATACAATTATTGGCTGTTATGACTAATGTTTTTATTAAGAAATATTGTATTTCTGTTTTTCAAAACATACCCACGAGAGATATTACAGTTGAGTTGTTCAAGAACTAGCCAAGAGCAGTGCCAGCAAAGGCTGCATGGGATTCTTCCCTTTATGTCATCCCTCTTTAGGCAAGCAGACAAGAGCCCATTGGGAAAAATTAAATGAGAAAATGCTTCTAATAAATCCAAGTCAATTTTGGATTTGCATTAATATTTATGGATGTCTACAGAATTGAATTGTGCCATTAAAATCCTGATAGGATGTTGTTTAGCTAAAGTAAGATGCTGTGATGAGGACTATTTGTCGATATCTAACTCTATACACATGCTCTTTCTTAAAAGCATATTGCATCAAGGTGCATTAAAGTTATTCCAGATTGAGACGTATTCACTGAAGTTGAGACATCAAACTGAAATTATAATAGTTAAAACGAGATAAAAATGACATTCCTATGTTTAATCTCTTGCAGTTGTTTCCATAACTCTCGCTAGTTTTGCAGCTTTGAGGGAAGTCAATAAAACCAAATAGCTTTTTCTTTTACAACCACCAGAAATTATTGGTTTAGACACAGAATTTGTTCCAAAGTGAATTTCTGGACAATTGTCGCAAGCATTATTTAATTTTTTTTTAACTGCGCATGGAAATGTAATAGTTGATACATGGTCAGCTCTTGCCCCGAATGTCTTATTTGGCCAGTTTTACTAACACTTACCCATAATTAATTTAAACTGTGTCTTAGTAGAGCTAATATCACTTGTCTTTTGTTTTCAGTGATAATGTTTAAATTAGAATGGACGGGTCTGTTGAGTTGTATCTGGTGGAGTCACTCTTCGTGTAATGGGGACCTTTTATGTCCGACAATACCATCTTCTTCCAGTTGTTTGATGTTTTGCGTTATATAGTTTAATGGATGTGCTCTTACAAATCATTTTTAATAATAAGTAATTCAATCTTCGGTTTTGTGATGACAAAGAATACAATTAACTTTCTTTCATCGGATGATGGCCTCATTTAAATGACTTATGGCCTGTAGATGGTTCTTTTAGCTTATTGTCTGTTGTCTGGAAGTGTTTTAAAGCAAAATGAAAATTCGAGAAAAATAAAATGGGGCAACTGTTTCTTTTAGATAGCGTTTTTAAAGCCATTTTACTGTATATGTAACGGGATTCACATTGTACTATGATACTGAATAGGAAATGAAGACTTTGAACATCAAAGTTTAAAGGAACACTATAATGTTCGAAATACAAATGTGTATTTCTAACGCTGTAGTGCCCTAGCTATCATCCTGATCTCAGCCAATCCTACATGTTCCATTAGGAAAGCATTGCAGCACATGTTGCATTGTGCCATGCTATGCCAATCAGATGGTCTTTGAGACCATCTGATAGAAATTGTGGAGTTTTACTATTTTGTGGAAACGCCTCTATTGGCTGTCAGTACGACAATGTTTTCAGCTGCAGAGATGGGTTGGGGGTCGGACGGGGGGGAAGGGGGAGCATGGCACCCAGACACCTTCATTGAGATGAAGTGGTATGGGTGCCTATAGTGTCTATTTAACCTATTTCCACAAGTGCAATGTAATATATCTAAAATATTATATTAGCAGCCAAAAACAATTACCAAATAAAAATAATCTAAATTCATTCTAGAAAACAGTTTAATGAATATACATCTAAGTATGACTAGGTAGAATTAGCATCAGCATAATCATTTATTTAACTTTTCATGAGTCCCATTTTAAAGTGAATCCTAAAAAAATACATTTTTTTCCTGAAAGATCACTGAAATTAATTCAGAATATTAATTAGGACCATTGCTTAAATCTTTTTAATCTCAACTTTTTTGCAACTACGAATGAAATCTCTATAACAGCATGAAAGCATTAAAATAGTCTCTACAGTTAGACAACAGCAACTTAGAATGACTTTGCTAAATTTAATTCTGGAAAAAAAAAACAGGACCAATCCACTTCAAAGTGATACTATAGACACAAAAACAACTTTAGCATAATTAAGCAGTTGTGATGTATAGATCATGCCCCTGCAGTCTCACTGCTCAATTCTCTGCTATTTAGGAGTTAAATTACTTTGTTTATGCAGCCCTAGCCACACCTCTCCTAGTTGCAACTGACACAGCCTGCATTGAAAAAAAATGGTTTCATTTTCAATCTGATGTTAACATGCTTTATCTTCTGCTTTGTAAATTGACCTTTAATCACATAGAGGAGGCTCTTGCAGGGTCTAGAAGGCTATAAAGAGGGCAGGAGATAAGACATTTTAAATTAAAAAGAATTTTTAATAAAAGAAGTGTTTAGGAAGGCTGTGCAAATCACATGCAGAGAGGTGTGGCTAAGGCTGCATAAATAAAGTAATTTAACTCCTAAATGTCAAAGAATTCATCAGTGAGACCGCAGGGGCATGATCTATACACCAAAACTGCTTAATTAAATTAAAGTTGTTTTAAAACCTAGAGTGTCCTTTAAGGCTGACATTGTGGCTTTATCTTTAATATATTCTGTCTAGAGCGGCTGTTCTCAAACCAGTCCTCAAGACCCACCAACAGTCCAGGTTTTTTTTTTTTTTAGTATCTCCATTGGAATAAAACAGGGAAATACAGAGATCCTGAACTGTTGGTGGGCCATGAGGACTGGTTTGTGAGTATTATAATAACGTCTTATTTACTATATATATTTTCAAGTTGACACATGGCCGGTACATGTGATACACTTTATTCTAAACCCTTCCGTTCTCAAAAGACACAATTACCCCATCACCCCTAAAGTTTTCTGTTGATTAACTGTTAAACAGTTTGAAGTGGACAATGAGATGATCTCAGATTTGTTTAAAAATAAAACACACTTTTCAGAATTGCAATGAATGCTTCACTTTTCTGTTCATCATCAGTGACTCACTCACAGAGCTTCACAAGAGAAATTAATAAAGATTAGGACAATTACTCTGGATTTTACCGCCTCGTCAGCTAGAAACAGGAAGCTGGTCTCTAGCTGGAAATCTGGACAGATACGGTTTGTCTGTATCGTTCTATAGTTATTCAGCTACAACAATGATGTTTTAATCCTTTCTGTTCTCGAAGGGCCAAACAAAACGTTATTAAGATGTTCTCATACTTAACTACATTTTTTCAATGAGGGGCCCTGCTCATTTGAGATGGGCAGCCATTCTAGATAATTGGGATCAACTGCTTCTTACATAAGTATATACTATAGAGGGACAACAATAGATTTTATCAGAGGTCATCCTGTCTAGATCGGGTACAGCACAAGTACTGGTGGGCTTCTCAACTAGAGCGGGCTATCATAAATTTATTGGAAGTCTATCTAGAAGGGACTTTCATACAGTTAATTGAGGTCTTCTCATATAGTAGTGGCAAGAGAAACAAAAGGGATTCAGCCGAATCAGACAAAAAAAAAAAAAGATTATCACTCCAAAAATTCTAAGTGCTCTGAACTGGCAATATCCCAAATAAGTCCAGCACAAACTATTACTGGACAGCAAAATGATGAGCCAGATTTATTGGTAAAACAAAACAATTCACATCAAAGCACATGTTCCATGAGTCTTTCTGAATAGTTTTATCAACTAATTTACCATTTCTTTACCAAAGAATCTCCTCTAAATGTTGTTTTATTTTCCGTTGCAAGGGTCACCCTTTTGGGATTGTATGTCTCTTAGCTAGGCAACAACTGTGATGGCTTTTTTTTTTGTTTGTTTATTTTAAAAAAAGGTGTTCTAAGATATCCACAAGAAACCAGCAAAATGTTTCTATGTATAGACAAATATTGCAATTTGTTTCAGCCAAAAAAGGTTTGTGCGGTAACAGCACAGTACAAATGCAAAACAATGAGAGTCTGTGGTTGGTATTTGATGGTTTGCCCAAACCAAAAGCTTTGAAAATGAATCTGAGTGTTTTATTGTACTGTAAATAAACCCAACCTATTCATTTTAAAATTCATCTGTCCAAATACAAGATAAGCAATTGTAAAGTTGGGAGATGGGTTAGAATTTTATTACAGATTTCCAGGGGTTTTCTATCATAAAATAAATATATGTAGAATTCCATTCTAAACATATTGTGCAATTATTCGGAATGTTAAGTAGATATATAAAGTGAACATGCCATTAAAGTTAAGCTTTAGGTTTTTTTTTTCCCAATCTGCTACTTTTGCCTAATTTTTGCAATTCCTGTTTCAATCTACTACTATTTAGTGAATAATCTCTGTAATTAAACTGCCTTACAGCTCCCTGAGGTTATCTATAGATTTTTTTTAAATTTTGATTAATTCTTAACATCTTCTACATTATTCTCTCCCCTACTGACCGAGACTCGTATTAGTGGAATCATCAAGAATGAGTTATGGCAAATAAATAATAAACCAGTGTGAACTTTTATCCTCCAGAAATGATAGAACAATTGCAATTAATAATATCTGTCAGAAAGGACACATTGTGCTGTGACTGTGGGATGAAGTGCCCTACATGTTTGATTTGGTGTTTTTTAAATTTCCTGTAGAATTTACATGACCTGATTTAACACGGTATAAATAATGCAACTGTAAATTATTTTTGAATGATATGCCTCATTCATTGGTCCTCTTGTCTAGTGTGGCTGTCACATATGCACTGAATTGCGAACAAGGGTTCCAGTTTGGGATCTGCGTATTGTAAAAAAACATAATTCTCCCTATAGAATGATACAAGAAGTGCTGTATACAGACTGATTAAGCAATGTGCTGTGCGTACAGAGACTGATTTAATAATACTCTGTGCATGTATAGACCCAGGGCCGGCCTTAGGCCCTTAGGCACCCTGTGCGAACATTTTTTTCGCAGTGACCCCCCCCCCCCTGTCATTCTTTTTATAGTGTATTAAATAAATAATGATTTTAAAAAAATATTAATTCCTCCTTTCCTGTTGTTACCTAGTTGGGAGAGGGGCATGCTGATCTGAATCTGGTATGCCCCTCCACTGGGTGCAGACCATGCATAACTGTCTAGTAGGCTCAGCTACTTGCAGTGTCCTGTGGTAATCTGCGGCAGTGCTCTGATTAGCTGGAGCTAGGAAGACAGCTACTTATGGTCTGCAGCCAACAGAAGTGCATGCCAGATGCAGAGTCACATGCACACAGTCCCACAGTCAGATGCACACAGCTATACATATACACTGTCAAATACACAGGATCAGGCAGAAACACAGTTATAGGCAGTTACACACATAAACAGTTACAGGCAGATAAACACACTCACACAATTACAATCAGACAGTAACACACACAAACACACAGTTACAGGCAGACAGTGACAAGCACACACAGGTACAGACAGTCACATACATACAGCCACATGCATACAGTCTCACACACACACACAGTTACATGCAGACAGCCACATACACAGAGGCAGACAGTCACACACACACACACAGAGGCAGACTGTCATACAGGCAGATAGTCAAACACACACAGACAGAGGCAGACAGCCACACACAAGTACTCACACACACAGAGGCAGAAAGTCACCAACACACACACACACACACACAGGCAGACAGCCATACACACAGGTACTCACACACACATAGGCAGACAGTCACACGCACACACACAGGCAGACAGTTACACCGGCAGACAGCCATACACACTGGTACTCACACACACAGGCAGACAGTCACACACACACACACACGCACACACAGGCAGAGAGTTACACACAGTCAGTCACACAGGCAGTCAAACACACACACACACAGGCAGTCAGTCATACACACAGGTACTCAAACACACAGAGGCAGACAGTTGCACATACTCACACACACTCACAAACAGACAGTCATAGATGGTTACCTCTGTCCTTTATGGTCTGGGAGGAGTGGAGGCAGTGCAGCTCCTGGGGTCTGGTTGTTGGGGAAGCAGGGACTCCTTCCTGCTTCCCATGCAGCCGGCACTTGTAACTCCGCCCCCGCCGTCATGTTAGCCCCGCCGCTGCCGCTAAGTAAGCCCTGCCCCTGCCACAAGGTAAGCCCCGCCCCCATCGCAATGCTGAGAGGTTGTTTCTAATCTCGGGTGGAGAACAGGGCTCGAGTCCTGCAGGAACGCATGGGAACGGCGTTCCCGCACTTTTTCCAAAGCAGGAACGCCGTTCCCGTTACCTGTCCTGCAGGACCGGCCCTGCTACCTGCACAGAGGGGCCAGCACACGCTGTGTTCCCTCTCCAGCTATAACTCTCGCGAGACCCGCGGCTGTTACCATGGCAACGCTCCGCACAGGCGAGTCTCGCGAGAGTTAGAGCTGGAGAGGGAACACAGCGTGTGATGGCCCCTCTGTGCAGCGGCTGGCTCCCTCCAGCATACCACCGGACCACCAGGCGATCTCCCCCCTCCCTGACAAGGTAAGAAGCAGGGAGGGGGGAATAAAATAAAAAAATATACATACACATAAAGTTAAAAAAAATGTCCCCCCCCATCATCCAGCACTCACACACCCGTCATCCAGCACACACACACCCATCATCCAGCACTCACACACCCATCATCCAGCACTCACACACCCATCATCCAGCACACACACACCCATCATCCAGCACTCACACACCCATCATCCAGCACACACACACCCATCATCCAGCACACACACACCCATCATCCAGCACACACACACCCATCATCCAGCACACACACACACCCATCATCCAGCACACACACACCCATCATCAAGCACACACACACACAC